CAATATAAAATAATATACTAATAATAATAATAAATAATATCTAAAAATAACTAATAATAAAATAAAATAAAATAATCATTCTATAATAACATTAATAAAGTTATAAACAGAATAAAGTATATCATTAATATTTGAGGTATTTAATTCATTAAGTATATTAAAGTATGGTATAATAATATTTGCTCAAATTATGAGTAACTTATCTAATAATAAAAAGCAAATGGCTTTATAAGTTGTATTTGTTCTTTTGTTGTTCTTCAATAAAAATAAAGATCACTTATAAGGAAAGTAGAAATTAACATCCACAAATCTAACTATAACATGTATTTATTAAAGTCTAAGTTTACTCAATCTAAATTTTTTCTTTCATGAATATTAATAAAAAGAATAATGCATTGCTTAATATAGCTTAAAGAAAGATATTAGCGAAATAATATATAAGGTAAAGCATAGTTAACTGAGTAAATATTATTGATACCAATATGGAAGAATCAAGCAGACAAGAACCTCAAATGAGGAGTATTATTAACCAGACTGCCAGATTTTAGACTAGAGAAAAGGGATATTAGACCAGCCTCAATATACCAAGAACAGATCACAGTTCTTCTGAATTATCTGGATTGGGAATCTGAGATCAACACAGAGATATACTAAAAGTACTAGGAATATGCTATGAAGTCAGTGCTAAGGTTTTAGTGAATTCTGTAAGAGTAGCCCTTGTTAGTATTCTAAAAATAAGTAGATAGTTAACAACAAAGAGCCCCTTGCATCTTACTGGCAAATGATATATTCTAAAATATGTAATAATCTAGAAATTAGTACAAAAAGGGTAGGTGCTATAATGCTTAGATGGTATACCAGTTAGGTATATATAGGAGTTAGTTGGGGTTACATCATAACAGGATGGATGATCAAAGGGTTTAAATAGATAATTTCCTAGTAGGTTATAAATATAGCATATAGTATAGAACCTTAAAGCAGACTACTTAAATAAGCAACTAAAAGTTGCACATGTAACTAGTTGTACTCTCATTTCTGTAAAAATAGTTGTAATAACTAATCCAATAAAAGTTAATAAAGTATTGTCACAAAGTATAGCCTTTAACAAAAAAAAAAAAAAACTAAAAGAATATTAATTTTGTATGCATTAGTATATGCTAAATTAATTTTATATTGATCAATAGTTACAGATTTTTTTTGCCAAATTTACACTAGTAGGAACATTAATTTTATTAATTTTAATAGGATTATCTTCTTCTAAACTACTTTCATTATTACTAAAAGACTTTTCAAGAAATTCTACTATATTTGACTGTTCTAATTTATTAAAAATAGTTTTCTCATATTGTAAGTTGTTAGCAAGAACATTTGCAACTACATTTTCTTCAATTTCTTTCAATTTTATCTTAAACATTTAACAACTTATTACAGTTAACTTATCAACAACATTTCTATAGATATGTAGCTCTTTTAATTCACTTTCATGATATTTAAAGTGTTTTAATATTATTTCTTTTAGTAATGCTATTGCTTTGTAGCTAACTCACATACCAATTGATATTTTATTTAATACTCTCAGCATTATATAAGTATATACAAGAAAACCAAATAAGTACTATAATAATAACCAATGCATTTAAAGTTTTTATTAATATTATATTTAAAGTAAAAAGCTTATACTTTACTAAATAAAAAGCTTTTACTTTATTTAAGTTAATTAAACTTCTATAAATTTTCAATTGTTAATTATTTATATATCAATATAAAATTCTATCAGTAAAATTATTAATAACTTAATAATTTACCTTACTAAAGACTAAAAAAAGCTATCTGAATAGTAAAAGTTTCAAGTTACTAATAAACAAGAAAAAATTAACACTTCAAGTTTAACTATAGTTTTGTATAAAATATAGCTTTAAATATACCTTCTTATCATCTTACTATTTATTAAAAAAAAATTTTTTTTGGTTACTTATTAAACAAAAAATCTTGATTGTCATTATGTTATCATTTTCTCTTATGAAATAGACTACTTGCAAGTATTAAATATTTATCACTATTAGTAATCAAAATTTTACTTATAACATTTACACAATTAGTATGTAATTTTGTACTAAGTTTACTAATAAAAAGTAGTGACAGGATAACTAATAAATTAATTGGTAAACTTAGAACAAAATTAGTAAATGCTTCTTACTAATTTTGTGCTAGTTTTGTATTAAAAATATAACTAGTTCATAAGCATTTTAAGTAATATTATTATATATTTAAAATCTGATTAGCAATAAACAGATTTCTATAAAAGGCAAAAAGAAACTTGCATTTATTTAGCTTTCTAAAATATAATAAATAATTTATTTAATTGCCAAAACAAACTAATTATGCTTGTCTATATATGTATAAAATTTTATATTTTAGTTATATGTAACTTTTTATTTAATTTTAATTTCAAAACTATACTTAATTTAGTATATTGTACTAAATTTAGTATAGCAAACAAATAGCTATTAATAAATTTTATGCTTTAAAAACTTGTAAATATTTTTGAAACATTTTATTTGCTATTAATAGCTGATAAAAGTAAATTCATAAAAGGCATATGAGCAATTTAGTAATATATAAATAGCATATAGGCAAGTAAATAAACAAATATATATAGATGAACATCTATAATTAAATTATTGTTCAAAATGAAGTAAAAGACTTTTAAATTCTATATACAGTGATATAAAAGTTATGTTTTTAATGCATTCTATATTAAAACATCAAAAACATAATTCTGTCTGCCTAATCACAGAATTTGTACTATATATTTAACTTTATTTATACAAATATTATTAATTTTTCTTTTTTATACTTTAGACTTATATCAGCTTCCAATTTCTAGTATATATAATTGTTTTTATAAAAAGACTTTCACATAATTGGCTATTTAAAAGTAGAGTACATGTAGATTATTTTTTATATAATCTGCATAGCAAATTTTTGTTTTTGCAAAAAATTAAAAGATGTTATTAATAAAATTTTTTAAGTTTATATTTAAATTTTATCAAATCTGTACACTCTTAAAAACTTTTTTTCATACATTATCAAAAATAATAAAATAAAAAACTAGATAAGATAAAGACTGATACTAATACTAAATAATTATAAAAAGACTTGAATAAACATGCACTTGTATATAACAAAAAAACAAATAGAAATAGCATAAATTAAATAATACAAAATAAAAAAGGAAAAGACAGCAAACCAGAACAGCAGTATAAAGAAAAGCTTTTTCAACTTATATGAAAAAGTTTTCTTGCATAACCCTCTTAAGAAAATTCTAATAAATACAACTATGCATAATATAACAGCAGTCAGAAAAACTATAACAAAGGTATAAACAACTCAACTTCCTACTAGCAACAACAAAAGAAGATGCACTGCTGCCCTTACTGCTCTTGTTGATACAAAAAGTAAGCAATCTAGCTCATCTTCAAAGATTTTAAACAACATTATTGGTTATATAGAAAGTTACAACAACAAACTCAGTTGACAAAAGCAGCAAAATGCAGATTAGTACAAATGATAGCAATACAATATATACTATAAACAGCAGTGTACTAGTCAACAACAGCTCAGATACCTCAAAGCCACAAGACCTTAGTTTAGACAAAACTGATACTCTGAATATGCAGATAGATGAAACTAATATAGACAAGAAAGATACAGATACAGAAAAAATACAATAAAACAACTAATTGTATGCAATCATCTTTAGCAATAATTTGAATAAACATAAACACAAACTTATATATAGTCAGGCACTAGCAAAAATATTACAAGACAAAGCAATGAAGAAGATCAGAAATGCAATAAATTAACACAATACAAGATAAATTAGCAAGTAAAATTATAAAATCTTTCAATATAAAAATCTGTAATTATAACAAAATACTTGAGTTATTACAAACAAAAGAAGAAATAAAAGAATTTATTGAATACAAATTAACATATAAACTAACAAGCCTCTATATACCTAATGCAATTAACACAAAATTTAAATATCTAGATATAGCATTCTTTATTATATTTATTAAAAACAAAGCCACATAACCAATCTATTAAGAAAACTATGAAGCATTACTCAAATATGCTATAAAAAAATACAAACTAATTAACAGTATTATGATTACTAATACATAAATATGAAAAACCATTAAAATCAAGCTGGAACAAAAGATTATTATTAATTATATCACAAACTGCAACTTCAACACAATGCCAGAAAACACAATTGCCAAAATAATAAAATATGCAAAAGGATTTATGAGAAGTAAACCAGAATTTGACTTACAAATTATAAAGAAAATCACATAAGCAGTACTAAATAACATCCAGATGGTACTGCCAAACTACTTAAATGAAATACCAGAAGAAATTCAACAACTTCTCCTATATAGATTGCCAATTATATATAGATACAAAATCAAATTAATAGTAATTGTCTTACACAAGATATATAAATTCAATACTTTACTAAAAGACTACTTTGAAATGAAAAAACCTCTTTCAGATAACCTTAAAGATCTGATCCTGCTATTAGAAACTTATTTCCAATTATAGACAGAAAGAAACTTCAAAACTTTGGTAAATACAAACAAAAGCTATTGGAATTCTATGATTTTAATAGAATTCCAGAGGCATACTTTAAACTACCTAACTTGAAACTAAGTCTACCTATAACATACTATGAACTAAACAGAAGAATCCAACATTTCTTTTCTTTTAATCCTTAAGATCCATTGATGACAATAGAAAAAATAATCAAAATGCTTAGAGAACACTATATCTTTAAAGTCATATTAAATAACTATATCAAATATAAACCAAAATTACCTACAGATATAACCAAAATCAAAACTAAAACAAAATTTAAATATCCAATCATTGATGATCAAAAAGCCAAAAAATTCATTTTACAAATTATCCCAACATATAGATTTAATATTCTATTAGACCTACAAATAATGATAGCTAACCTAACAGAAAAATCCAAACTACCAAAAAACCCAAAAGAAATCACAGAGTATAACATTACTTTATCAATTAAAACACCTAAACAACTAGTTGATACAGCCAGACTCCTGAGAGAAACATACTTCTTCTATAAATTACCAAACACATAGATCAATATTACAAATAAAAAAAATACAATAGAAATACAGAAAGTATCTGACAACCAAACAAAACCAGATTTAAAATCAGACTTGTCACAATTATATAAAAAAATCTTCTAAGCACTCACAGAAAAACAAATTGAAACTGCAGAAATCATATTATCAATTACATAGCAAAACCAAGTTAAACCAATTTTTGACAAGCTTAGAGAACACTTTACAGTTAACAACATATCTGACTATCTACTTCAATTACCACCACTCTTAGAACCAACATAAGATATTTTCAGCAATGCACCAGTTTATATGCAATTCTAATAAGAACAAAAACATCAACAACAATATTAACAATAATAATAATATACAAAACAACACACTATTACAAACTACTAATAATAATAATATTACCCAAGTTGTAAAAAACAAAGAAGAAGGAGTGTGGTAACCTAGTAAAGTGGTCAGGTTGTCAACTCCCAAGTGGCAGGTCTAAAGTTCAAATCTCATAGATGACGAATTTTGGAAAATAAAGTCTGTGTTATGGTAACTGTCTCTGTCTATTAGTTAGATTTGTGTATCTGTAACCTTTGTTGTACCATCTTGAATAAGAGCTCAAGGCATCTATGCAAAGTATAACATTACACCCATATAGAAAAATGTTAATAACCAGTGTTGCATAAGACTTTGGTACAAACTCACGATAAGACCACCAGGTATAGAAAGCAAAG